CCTTCCTTCCTTCCTTCCTTCCTTCCTTCTCTCTCTCCTCTCTCCTCTCTCTCTCTCTCTTCCCCTTCTTCCTTCCTTCTTTCCTTTTCTTTCTTTTCTTCCTTCATTTCTTTTTTCTCCTCCTCATCCTCTTTTTTGGGGGGTGATTTGAGACAAGGTTTCTCTGTATAGTGTGGCTGTCCTGGAACTCTTTCTGTAGATCAGGATGGCCTTGAACTCAAGAGATCCATCCACCTCTGCCTCCAGAATGCTAGGATTAAAGGTGTGCACTACTGCCTTAGTTAGGGTTTCTACTGCTATGAAGAGACACCATGACCATGACAACTCTTACAAAGGAAAACATCTAATTGTGGTGGCTGGCTTACAGTTCAGAGGTTCAGTCCATTATCATAATGGTGGGACATGGTGACATGCAGGCAGACATGGTGCTGGAGAAGGAGCTGAGTGTTCTACCATCTTGTAGGTGACGGTAGACTGAGACATTAGGTAGTATCCTGAGCATATGAGACCTCAAGCCCGCCTCCACAGTGACATACTTCCTCCAACAAGATCACACCTACTCCAACAAAGCCACATCTCCTAATAATGTCACTCCCTATGAGCTTATGGGGCCAATTACATTCAAACTACCATAGCTACCATGCCTAGCTAATTTTTTTTTCTTTACACTGAATTTTGAAAGTCATTTAATCATGGCTGCTGACAGAGCCAACACTGCTGGGAAAGTGGAGGGAATTCACGAAAGTCTATGGAGTACTTATATAGATAGGTTCACTCCTGTGAAGCCACAAAAATCCTCCAAACAAAGCCAAAGCCAAACTACATTGTGACCTTGCCCTTTCCCCTTCCAGGATCCCAGCTTGTACTCCGGAAGCCTGAGTGGGTCTGTTATTGGATCCTCTACTTCAGATTAATTGAAGGATCCTTCAGTTCAGTGGACCTGTGGTACAAGCTGCTCATGTAAATTCACTTTTTAGACCTTCTCACAATCTCATGTGAACAGTACCAACAGGGAGGGAGACAGGCAGAGATTTAATGCAGAACAATTACATCTCAATTTAAATGTGCAAAATACGCCAGAGAATTAATTTCAAAACAAACCTTGAACATGTCTCGGGGATTAAACATGTAGTGGCATTTGGTTGGCGTTGGCAGCAGTTTCTTACAGACTTGATGATATATCGCCAGGCAACAAAGCACAATCTGGTCTCTACATTTCTGAACCTCAGCTACGAAGTTATACACGGAGAAATACATTCCCAAGTGAGCCTTTGAAAAGAAAATTTAATAATTCACTTAAAAAATTTAAATTTGGGCTACAGCTAATATTTATCAAGAAGCAGGCTTATGGACTGCCATGGAGGGTTAATTTCACTAAAAATTATTAGTAGTCAGAATCTTAGGACAGGGTGGTGGCTTACGTACAAAGGTACTCTGGGTGTGGGAAACAGATGTTTTGAGAGGTCTTAGTATTTGTGCCATAGTCTAGAGGCATGAGATGTGTGTTCTTTGGGTACAGTTGGTGGCCCACCTCTGTGCACATCAGTTGTGGTATTCTCCTATCTCCTTACTCTCCCAGGGGGGCAAATATTAGAAAATTACCCTATCTGGACTGCCAAACACATGGGTTTTCTTTGGGGATTCCAAAATCCCTTGTGGGAAAGATGGCTCAAAGTGAAATATAGTGTAAATTTATACATCTGATGTATGAGATTGCATAGAACACAGTAAATTTCTTCAAAATTAATCTTACATTTTCTTTCTTTATAAGCTTTAAAGGTAAATTAAAACCAGTTTCCCTCAGATCCCTTATGATTTTGATGCAGGAGAATACAGGCCACACGTAGATTGCTTTAAAAGAAAGTAGATGTGTGTGCCAGCTTCCAGTGGTGGAAGTGATCCCGCCTCCTATAAGAAAATGCACAGATCCGAACTAAGAGTGCTCATGCTTACAGGGTCCATGCCAGACACATCGAACCTCAGTCAGAAGAATAAAGTCCTAGGATTGCACTGGACATGTACCATAGCACTTCTTATGAACACAAAATTGTGATTTCAATATTAAGAGATAAATCATAATAGTAGTCCAGAAAATATAGGAGAAATAAAATTTATGAAGACAAGAATAATTGATCAGTGTTAGTGTTTTCAGTTTCTCAGACTTTTACTTATAATATGTTCTTTTTTGCCCCCAGTAGAAAATGAGCTGGATGGGGAAGACAGGGTTTATTTCACTTTACAGCTTGCAGTCCATCATCCAAGAGAGGCCGGATATAAACTCAGGCAGGAACCTGGAGGCGGAACTGACACAGAGGCCATGGAGGGTGCTGCTTACTGGTTTGTTCCTCTTGGCTTACTTAAGTAAGCTTTCTTATATCCCCACGATGACTTACCCAGGGGTGGCGCTGCCCACGATGGGTTGGGCCCTCCCACATCAATACCAACCAAGACAACACCTCAAGTTTTAATCCCAGCACTTGGGGGGCAGAGGCAGGTGGATCTCTGGGTTCAAGGCCAGCCTGGTCTACAGAGTGAGTTCCAGGACAGCCAGGGCTACACAGAGAAACCCTCTTTCAACCACCACACACAGAAAAAGGGAAGATTCGCTGTTCCCAGGTGTGTCTAGGCTTGTGTCCAGTTGACAAAAGGCAAGCAGTGTAGTAGAGTACTACAGCATTCTTGAGAACCTGGTTCTATCCCAGAGAGGAAGGGAGGGAGGGAGGACAAGGGAGGAGGAGACGAGGGAGGGAGGGTGAGAGAGAGAGACAGGAACGAGCTCGATGCATTACCTGAAGGATAGTACATAAGGCACTCTGTGGAGGATGAGGCAATACCAGTATGGAGAAGTGTTTGAGGAGCCGTGGACTGATATCATTCCCACTGGCAGAAGACGCACAAGAAGCGACTATAGAAAGATCTTGAATAGTCTGTGGGAAGAGTTTTCAAAAGGAAAAGCATCTGTAATAAGTAAATATGTATCCATTTCCTCACCCCAAGCAGGAGAATTTAGGCAAACATTTAGATTACTATTTACTATAAAACAAAAATTACAATGGTAATAGAAACCTGTCTTCTTATATGTAACCTGTCATAAGATGTAACTTCATGATAAGTCACTTCCAGCAGGCATTCTAAATGTCATCAGGAACAGCCCATTAAAAAAAAAATGACAATCACTTCAAAATGTGAAACTACGGAAGAAAACATGGGGTAATACATCACGACACCGGTCTGGGCAAAAAGTTCAAAAGCATGAGAGGCCAAACTAACATAGACACGTGGGATTATACCAAACAAGAAGTTTCAGCATAGCACAGCAGTCGCCAGTGTGACCGGACATCGACAAGGGGTTACAGTGTAGAGTATACAAGGAACTCAAATATCCCAACAGCACCCCATTACAAATAATCCAACAAAAACCTGGGAAACATTTCAACAACAACAACAACAACAACAACAACAACAACAACAACAACAAACCATATATACAACAAGCTGGTAAATGGGGAAAAAAAGAACCAGTCACCATTGAGTGTCAGGGAAATTCAAATAAAAACAATAGTGAGATAACATTTCATCCCAGCTAGAACAGCTGTTAGTAAAAAGAAAAGAAATGAAAAATGCTGGTGAGGCTGCGACAAAGGGAACTTCTTGTAAACTACTAGAGGGGATGTAATTAGCACAGACATTATGAAAAGCAGGGTTTAGGTTCCTCATAAAAATATAATCACCACATGCTCCAATAGTCCTACTGTTATATATATATATACACATGCACATTCAACAGAGATTAAATTAGTATATAAAATATATCTGTATTCTTCACACCAATAACATAAATGAGCCTGGAAGACATCATGCTAAGTGAAATAGCCCAGATACAGAAAGTCAAATACTGCTCCATTGTATTCATTTTGGGGCTCTAAAAAAATATAATAGTAGATATTTCCCACCGATAATCCTAAATGTAAATGTTTTAACTTCCCAATTAAATAATGCAGACTAGTCAGTTGGACAATGTCCTCCAAAAAACACAGCTCACGCCG